AGAGAGAGAGAGAGAGAGAGAGAGAGAGAGAGAGAGAGAGAGAGAGTGTCAGGAATGGGTTTATACTAGGTTATGTGCACGAAAGAGGAAATGTTCCTTGAAATTTTTATTGTGCCCATAATTCCCTCCAAATCAATCATGGCTGCATTTACCAGACAGTTAGTACAGTGGAAACTGCTCTTGGCCTCACCTTGGGCCATTAACTAACAAAAGAAGTTGTTAGCCACCCATAATAACCAATTTCACACAGATTATTGGACTTTTATCAAAAGAGGAGGAACTGTGTGACGGAAGGCTTTCTTTCCAAATCCATTCAGCTCTCTTCTCACTATTCCATAATCTGTCCCCACATTAAAGCCAAGATCTGGTTCAGGATCTTTGCAATAAAATCTGCCCTAAGGTATTGTTTGTAATAATTAGCTTTGGTCAAACACGATTGACTGAAGCTGGAATAAATGCAACCATGTTAGTCAATTCACAGAAACATCACCCATTTTATGTCTGGCATAGTCTTAGGAAGAAGGAAGTCATTTTGTTGCCTCAGGCTTCAAAGAGCCCTCTGAGACTTGTAAGTGACAGGAGATGGGAAGGAATTTCCAGGATTATAGTCATGTACAGTTTGGGTAAACTGTTAAATGTGTAAACTTCTCATGACGCAGCTTGGGAAGGGACTTCATACCATTTGTGGAATGGAGTAAGAATAGGAACAATGGCTTCTAGGACAGAAGAACCATCTTCCTAGTAAGGGAAGAGTGGAGGTCCTGGAGCCAGGCATAAGTGCCTGCAGTGCTGACATAGACCATCCTAATCTCCCCTCACTCCTGGACTAACCCCTGTCTAGTCCACTATCCCTCACTGACCAGAAGAACACAGATCATTGAGAGATAAACTTAACCATGAGTAAGGAAAGCATTGAAGAAGTTGCCAGTGTTTTCTTGCACCTTGAGTTTTTGTGGATGACATCAGGCAGACCATGTAAAAATAATATAGATTTTCTCATTTAAAATAATGAAAGTGTCAGCCAAGTGTGTATGTGAAGTGCCAAGGTTGAAATTCTGTGCTGGTACAGCATCTTGAGGTTCCTGCCATATGTCTGGAGTCAGGGTGCAGAGCTGTAGGCAGAACGTATTTGCAAGCTATAGATGAATGGATGCTTTTAATTTTTTTCTCAGTATATTTTTAAACTGACAGATATCATATGTTAATCGTGTACAGCATGATGTTTCTCAAGCACATGCATAAATTGTGTGATGGCTCCATCAGGCTAATTATCACAAACATTACATCCTAAACTTATGTTTTTTAAATATATTTTTATTTAAATTTAAAACAATCTTATTTCACATATCAATCCCAGTTCCCTCTCCTTCCCATCCTCCCATGACCCCCACCAATCCCCCCATTCCACCCCATATACTCCCCAGGGAGGGTAAGGCCTCCCATGGGGGATCATCAAAGTCTGACATATCATTTGGGGGAGGGTCTAGGCCCTATATATCCAGGCTGAGAGAGTAACCCTCCATGGGGAATGGACTCCCAAAGCCCATTCCTGAACTAGGGATAAATACAGGTTCCACTGCCAGAGGCCACATAGACTGCTCAGGCTTCCCAACTGATACCCACATTCAGGGTGCCTGGTTCAGTCCTATGCTGGTTCCTCAGCTGTCAGACTGGGGTCACTGAGTTCCCACTTGCTCAGGTCAGCTATTTCTGTGGTTTTCCCCACATTGTCTTGACCCTTTTGCTCATCACTCCTCCCTTTCTACAACTGGATTCCAGGATTTTGCCTAGTGTTTAGCTGTGGATCTCTGCTTCTGCTTTCATCATCTACTGGATGAAGGCTCTAGGATAGCATATAAGGTAGTCATCAATCTCATTATCAGGGAAGAGCATTTAACGTAGCCTCTCCACTATTGCTTAGATTCTCAGTTGGGGTCATCCTTGTAGATCTCTGGACATTTCCCTAGTGCCAGATTGCTCTTTAAACCTATAATGGCTTCCTCTATTAAGGTATTTCTCTTTTTTTGCTGTCCTTCTCTATTCTTACTCCAACTCAATCTTCCTGCTCCCTCATGTTCTCCTCCCTGCTCCCCTTATCTTTCTCCTCCCTCCCTCCCCACACTCCCCATGCTCCCAATTTGCTCAGGAGGTGAGAACTAAATCTGTTTTTTAAAGATTTTTCAAATGTAATACATCTAATCAACTATGGTTTACATCAGAGTACAATAGACTTCTAGAATATATTTCATATCCTTTGACCAACATCTCTCCCATCCACCTCTGTCTTCCACTGACAACCTATATTCTGTTTTATGCTTTTGTGAGATCATAGGTCCCACATGTGTGTGTGATCATGTGATATCTATTACTCTGTGCTTACCCTAACTCCCCTAAGATAGTATCATTTGACCACATACACGTTGTCACACATGACAGGAAGAGAGTATCTGACAAGTGTTAAAAAAATTCCCAGATATAAAATTAATACACAAATAAAACTACCATGCAAGTGATTCTCTGCCAGTCTTTTCCTCACCCCTTTTTATTTTGGGTGAAGTGAATAGTCTCACTTCCAAGCTGTCTTCAGGAACGTTGCTTTACAAATGGGGTAGTGTAGAGCACAGTATTGTTTATGTTTTCTGAGAAATATTCATTTGGGTACCCAATGTTTGCTTCTCCTCCAATTTAGGCAGCTATGTTCTTCCCTTTCTGTAAAGTGGCCTTGCAAGCCTCTGAGAGGCACTCAGTATGTCCTCCAGATGACGAGGCACAATGGCCAATTGTTAAAGTGGATGGAAACCAATTAGCAACTGAGGATAATGGAAGAGCGTTCCATGTAATTCACTGACCTCAAGTCACAAAAATGGGCTAATTCTCAAAAATGAAATAGACTGCTGTTTATCATCCTATTTAATGGCTAAGTGTCCGATAAACTAGCTTTGTCCTTGAATTGGAGGTTCTTAAGTATTCAAGGTAGGTGGGCTCACCACATGTAAATTCATTTCATCTGTCACTCAAGAAATCAGAAACTTGATTTGAATTTCTTCTTAAACCTTCTGCTACAAGTAAAGAACACACACATATACACATACACACTAGCATTTTAGGATTTAGAGATTAAAAGTCAAGGCTGTGGAAAAGTTGATGGTCTCTTCTGGGAATGTAAATACCATCTTTCACCCTTCTTTTCCTTTAGGTCCAGTGGAACACGTTCACCTTCGAGTTCCCTTTGTCGCCATAAGAAACAAGGATGTCAACATCAGTGCAGTTGTGTGGCCCAGTCAGATGGGGACCCTTACCTACTTCTGGTGGTTTGGCAATAGCACAAAGGTTTGGCCCTTTCTCCTCAGTATCAAAGTTGATCTAGATTCCTATGCTCCAGTTTCTAAATTATTTTGCAGGGACTGGATTTTGGGGATAAGGGGTACGTAGTGAAGATAAGAACTCACAGAGTCAAACAAAATATGCTTCCTGGAGTGTTGTCTTTACCTTAGTAGAGAAATTTTAAGTAATAGTTAAAAGAAAGAGCACTCTGGGAAATTGTACAAATTTGCAGGCTTTTTCTTCTATTTAAAAAGTCCCTAAGGCGACATTGACTCTGTTTTATTTGAGTCCCTGGACTTTCTACTGATGTGCTACATAACAATAGCAAGGGCATTGCTTGTCATCTCTGAGACTGGGCATTCACATGGTCAAACATGAACTGGATACCTTAGTTGTAAGGGCAGGAAATAAAGTTGGATGGCATGTAAATAATCCTCGTCAACACCTGCCTGGTGCTCTACAAACACAGGTTGTTTTAGGGCACGTGATGACGTGGCTGTGCCTTAGAGTTAAGAAACTAGAACTTTAAAAATGGGTCTACTCTCAGGACCTGTTGATGATGATGCCAGTGCCAAGTGTGGTGACTCTGAAAAATTAGGCTGAAGGATCATCAATTGCATTAAGTTTCTCCTTTATTGGATTTTAGAAAAGCAATATTACAGTTTTAAAAATAGCATATTTATTTGTTTGGGCGAATGCTGCATTGCATGTGTAGAGGTCAGAGGACTGCATGCAGGAGTAACTTCCCTCCTTCCGCCTGCCATGTGGAATCCAGCAATCGAACTCAGTTATCAGGCAGCAACCACCTATACCTACTAAGCTGTCTCATGGGCCCCAAATTCAACTTTTCAAGCATTTCAGGTTCACAGAAAATTCGACAGGGGCATACAGATATGTCTCCCATGTTCCCTGCTCCTGAAATCTTTCTCTTTATAAACATGATGCATTTATTATAGCTGGTGAACTTTATAAGCAGGTCATTCTCACTCAGCATATGAAGTTTATATGACGGGTCTTTGGGTTTGAACAAATGTAAGAAACAAAATGGTTGCATTTCTCCATAATCATCTGCAGTTTCCTTCTTCATCTCTCCCTCCTCATCCTCAATATCTGCCATTAGTATCTCTAGTTTTTCATATGATAATATCATATACTTAGACTCATTAGTATGTTTTGTTTACAAATTGGATTGTTTCTCAGTTAGGAGTATATATTTGAATGTTCTCTATATTGCTTCATTTCTTGGTAGCTCATTTCTTTTTCTAAAGATTTTTTTTTAAATCTTATGTATACAAGTGTTTGCCTGGATGTATCTATGTCTACTATGTGAGTATATTGCTTCATTTCTTGGTAGCTCATTTCTTTTTCTAAAGATTTTTTTAAAATCTTATGTATACAAGTGTTTGCCTGGATGTATCTCTGTGTACTATGTGAATGCCTAGAAACCATAGAAACGAGAAGAAAGCATCAGATTTCCCTGGAACTGGAGTTACAGATGATTGTGAGATGATGTGTGGGTGCTAAGAATTTAGACTGGGTCCTTGAGGTCAATAGATACCTTTAGCCACTAAGCCATCTCTCTAGCCACTGTATATTTACATTCCTACCAGCAATGAAGAACACCTTCTCTTACTTCATACCCTCCCCAGCAATGATGATGTTATGTTCTGGACTTTGTCATTCTACAAGGAATTCAGTGGTATCTTATTTGAATGTACATTTCCCAGGTGACATATTATGTAGAGATTATGCTCTATGCTTACTGGTGGGTTTTATATTGTGTTTGGTGGGGTGTCTGTTGTTCTAAAACCAAGATGCTTGCTTCATACTGTTCATTGTTTCTAAGATTTACTCATATTTTACATAACAATTCTTATACCTTTTGCAGATATATCCTCCCTGCTTATTTCTCTTTTCATTCTCTTGACAATGTCTCTTTCAAAGCTTAGACATAGAAATTTAATGACGTCCATCTTAGCAATCACAGGCCACTTTGTGATTTTGGTGTTTATCTACAGTGCCACTGCTGTATATGAGGCTGTCCGAGTTTTATTGTACATTATATTCCAGGGTTTTACCTTTTGGTTTACAATCCATTTCAGTTCATCTGTAAGAGGAGTGAGGCCTGTGGCAGGCTTCATTTGCTTGGGTGTGCCACTCTGCTAATCTTCCAACTTGATCTCTTGAAAGCTCTGTCTTTGCTATGTTTTGTTATCCTTGCTTCTTTGGCAAGGATCACATGTAACTCTGCTGTCCATTCCTTCTCATTCATCTTTTGTCTTCCTTCACTGTCACTATGCTGTCTTGATTTTTGTGAAGTTTGTAGTGAGTCTGAAGCCACATACACTTTCATATTAATATTATATTGCCTATCATGGTCCTTTTACTTTTCCATATAAACTTAGATGAGTTTGTTGTGATCTAAAAAAATTACTTTTCAGAATATTTGATTGGGGATATATCACCCATATGTCAACTTGGTTAGATCTAAAACTTTAACAATAGTGATTCTTCCTATCCACAGACAGGTAACATCTCTCTGTTCAATTACTTAGCCCTTGATTTCTTTCAACAGAATTTCATAGTCATATGCAGGTCTTGCAGATATCTTATTAGATTTATGGCTAAGTCTGACATTTCATTTTTTAGTAGTGCTGATGCAGATGGCATTGATTTTAATTAAGATTTCACCTGTGCATTACTGGTATCTAATAGAATGATTGACTTATAGATATTCACCATGAATCTTGAAACCTGGCTATATTGAACTAAAATATCTAAAGAGTTTGTTGTTAATGTTTTTTGAAATTTTTAAAAAACTTTTTATTGATTCTTTGTGGATTTCACATCATGGGTCCTGATCCCATCATCTCTCTATCCCTTCATATCCTCCTCCTGTCCTTGCAACTTCCCTCATTCTTTCAGGGAACCTTTGACTTTGGATTGTGTGGTTTCCAAGTGTTTTATAGTATACACACACACACACACAGAGAGAGAGAGAGAGAGAGAGAGAGAGAGAGAGAGAGAGAGAGAGACTGACAGACAGA